GGAACTGCCAAAAGGAAAAGGCATTGGCATGTGCAAGGAAGCAGACAGCACAGTTGGAGACAGTGGCTCTGATTACATGTTAGATACTTTCTCCCTCACCTCCCTGCATTTAGGACTCCTAGGGAGACACAGAAGAGGGAGGGCTGAGCTCCTTCTCTTGCTGGCTATCATATGTAGGGACATCTCTAGGGACAAGCTTCATTTTGCCTAGGGGACTTTTCAAGCCACATTACCCCCAAGATTCTGACATGCCTCCTTGGGAGGTCATGCTCCCCATCCTCGAGGCTGAAAATCACTGAAGCTGTGAGCCATTGTTTCTGTTGTGAATATGTCATATCTTTTAGGTTTGTTGAGGAGTAAAACAGATTGAGAACCACTTGGTTAGTGGTTAGTAACCTAGGACCAACATATGAGTGGGGTTTAGGGCACTTCTGGATTCCACATTCATTTATTCAGGAAACATGTATTGTGTACCTACTGTGGTTCGGGCACTATTATAGGTGCTGTGGGCATACAAAAGTGAAGATATGAGTAGTTGCTTAATGGGTAGAGAGTTTCAGACATGCAAGATGAAAAAGTTATGAAGATCAGCTCCACAACAATGTGAATATACTTAACACTACTGAACTTAAACATGGTTAAGACGGTTTTTATGTTATGAGTTTTTCATCACAATAAAAAGTGAATATCGGGCTTCCCTGGTGGCGCAGTTGTTGGGAGTCCGCCTGCCAGTGCGGGGGACATGGGTTTGAGCCCTGGTCCGGGAAGATCCCACATGCCACGGAGCAGTTGAGCCCGTGCGCCACAACTGCTGAGCCTGCACTCTGGAGCCTGCAGGCCACAGCTGCTGATCCTGCGTGCCACAACTGGTGAAGCCCACGTGCCTAGAGCCCGTGCACCGCAAGGAAGAGTGGCCCCCGCTCGCGGCAACTAGAGAAAGACAGCGCGCAGCAACAAGGACCCAACGCAGCAAAAAATAAATAAATATTTTTTTTAAAAAAGTGAATATCACAATAAAATGCTGCCTGCCCTCAGGTTTTTCATTTAAGCTGGAGAAAATCATTTGTATAGGATCAATAGGAATACGTGTTGTAGCAAATACCAATCAAGTTAAGTCCCAGCCAAAGTGAGCGAGTGGCATGGACATATACACACTACCAAATGTAAAACCGATAGCTAGTGGGAAGCAGCCGCATAGCACAGGGAGATCAGCTCGGTCCTTTTGACCACCTAGAGGGGTGGGATAGGAAGGGTGGGAGGGAGGGAGGGAGACGCAAGAGGGAGGGGATATGGGGATACATGTATACATATAGCTGATTCACTTTGTTATACAGCAGAAACTAACACACCATTGTAAAGCAATTATACTCCAATAAGGATGTTAATAAATAAATAAATAAATAAAGAGCAGTAATTATAAAAAACAAAACAAAACTTACGTCCCAGCTCACAACTGCCCTTCTTTGAGAACAGTCCCAACCACAGAGGTGGACCTGAAGTAATGATGTGTAGTGTCCTTGCAACTTGACCCTGACCTCTGGCCACCTCCTAGGGGTAGACAACTGATCTAAGCTGTACCAATTTTTCAAACTTGAACGGAGAGACTGAAGCTGGCTGAAGCTGTTACCTTCATGGCAGTGTCCATATACTCCCATTGCTGAGGCCTCCAGAACTGCCCAGCTTCTTGCCCTTTCCAAGGCCTGGTTGGTTAGCTCCATGTCTGATTCTGAGAGCTATGGCAGAATCCTTCCAATACATCCCTCCATTTACCGAAGCTAGCCACAATCATTCTCTGTTGCTTTCTACAAATAACTTCAATTATAACCCAAACCAGTGGTGCTCCTTCTGGGAAACAAAAGTTGTCAATTGAGGATTTGCTGGTGATAGGGGAGGGGAGGTCTTCAGTCAGAAAATAGCATGGGTGGTTGATTTATAGATTAAAATAGCAAACTCTTGTTGCATAAGCAAACACTTTACCCTGAAGGAGCTGTGTATTGCTTGCTACAGGCACAGGGTTATTTTCCTACTGGAGGTATGGGGATGGGAGGAGGACAGAGTTGTGTAAGTAGCCTAAATTATTCCGAGTTCCTCCCCCATTCTCCTGGTCGTTATTCAGTTGCCAAATGTCGCTGGTCTGAGAAGACTGGAAGGAGGAAGCTGGAGGAGGCTGTGGCCTGAAGCTGAGGCTGCTGTTGCTGGGCTGGGACTGCCAGTCAGGAAAAAGATGTGTATAAAAGAAGAGAGAAGGGAGCAGCCCCAGAAGCTGTCTTTTGGACACTGATCCAGCTGGTTCGAGGTTCCTCCACAACTCCTAGCAAAAGGTTGCCCGGCATCAGGACCTGAGATCACTGCAGCGTGCGGGGAGACTGAGGAAGAGGGGACCGAGAGAGGTGCCTTAATGCCTGCCCTGCACGGGGCTGCGTCCCTGCAGATGGGAAGGCCCTCTTCACCCAACAGCCCATTTCTACTCAGCGGCAGGCACAGAGCCACACTTAGCAGAGTTCAGTGAACTGTGGGATACAAGGGTGGAGAGACGGAGAGACCACGGCAGGCGCAAGAGGCAGGACCAACAGCCTCGCAGGCCACTGGAAAAAAATCGGGGCTTGGGACCCAGGAGGGGCCTCGCGCGATTCCTCACTAACCTCGCGGATTTCTAGGCGGGAAGTCAAAGGGCGGGCCCTGGGATGCTCTTGGATTTCGAAACTGGAAAGTAGGGAGGGGATTTGGCGGATTTAACGGTTCAGGACCGAGGTCATCAAGGAAGCGGATCTTTGACGTAGGTTCCAGGATCAGGTAGGCGAGGTGAATCGTATCCCCGGCCTGCGGCGCTGAAGTCACTGCCCGGGAAACGGGAAGGAGGCGGAGCCGGCCGAATTTTGACTGACAGGAGCCAAGCAGGGGCGGGACTCTGCTTCTGACTGGCTGTGTCCCCCACGAGGGGCGTGGCTCACCTATGACTAACAGGCCCAGGGGCGGGGCTGGCTTGAGACTGACAAGCTTGACGGGGAGGAAATGGGACTTGGTTTTGGCTCTTTGGACACCAGCCAGGGTGGAACTAGGGTAGTCTGACTGGCATGAGTCCACAGGGCCTGAGCTAAAGCTGGCCCAAACCACCTGTCCTTAAGATGCCGGCCATTAGCCCCAGCGACCAAGGAAAAGAGCAGGATATGGCCACCTGGTCCCCTCCCTATGGCCAGGGTAAGCCAGGCCTCCAGGTCCAAGCCATTTTTTCCCTTAGAACATAGGCCAGGAGAGAGGAAGAAGGCTGGGGAGGAAGGCCAAGGATGCAGATTCAGGTTCCCAGAGAGGGTTCCTGGAGTCTGAGCACTGGGAGGAAGAGAGGAGGCCCAAGAATGGGGCCGATTATTTAACTGTGAGAAAAGTGCTATCTCTACCCAAATGCTGACTTCCGAGGAAAATTCCAAGCATGTGGAGGCAGTCTGGAAAACATGCCTGCCTAGGATTTGCCCCTAGAGAACCTGTGAAATTAGCTTAAACCAACCGTTTTTTCTTTGAGAAGCTGGTATGGAACTAGGAATGAAAGATGGCAGGAAAGCCTTCCTTCTAACTGGCCCACTGGTGCCCTGGCCAGCCTTCTCTCTGACATGGTTTAGTATTATCTGCAGAGCACAGATAATTGTTATTAAATGTTCTTAATGATTTTGTTTTACAGAGATTCCAGCACCTCACTCCCCAAGTGGGTTTCTTTTACCTAGATTTTCTAGTAAAAGTGCAAGGCCTCTTTTCAAGGGTATAGCTGTGGGCAACTTCCTTAATGTCTTTAATAAGCCTGTGTCTTTGCTATGAATGGACATAACATGTCCGGCCTCACAGGGGTGGTTGTGGAGATCGAAGGAGACAATGAACTTAAAGTACTTGGCTTCAGTAAGCCTGCCTGGCACAACAGGGAAGGACTCAATGAGCAGTAGCTGGTGTCACCCCCACTGCCCATCAAGTAAACTCCTACTTCCTAAGAGGATCGAGTGAGCGCAGGCCAGGGTAACAGGTCACTTGAGGCTGTCGTGGGACCATTCAGCTCTAAAGATTTCTCCTGACCACCTAGTGTGAGAGCTTTAGGCTGAAAAAAAAGGGAGATGAGGGGTATTTCCTGCAGGGAATAGGGAATGGATTTTGTTATAGATTCATTCACGTTTATTCTTTTGAATCTTCCTAAGCCGAGACTTGGGGTAAGAGAGGCAACTATTGGGGGAATTCCCTGGTGGTCCAGTGGTTAGGACTCTGAACTTTCACTGCTGAGGGCAGAGGGCGCGGGTTCAATCCCTGGTCAGGGAACTAAGATCCCGCAATCCGCAGGGCCAAAAAAAAAAAAAAAAGACAACTATACACTGTTTAATAGTAGCTCTCACCAGTTTTACATAGGCATGAACAGGACTCTGGGCCTTATTTTTCCTGGGAAAAAAAAAGGTGGGGGTCATAAGCAGGGAGGGAGTAGAGGGCCCTGGGGTGGGGGGAAGGGGTGTTAACTAGCAAATGGTCCCGACCAGGCTTGTTCCAGTGTTGCATCAATGAGAGTGTGTAGGGGTGTAGAGGTGTGCTGGTGCCCTAACAACTTCTCTGATGGAGCCAGGCAGTCCTTAGCCCTCTAGCCTTCCTCTCCCTGAGGCCACCACCCCATGCCAAATGCCTGAAGGGAACCAAGAAGCCCAGAGCCTGAGTTGGTTTGTAGGTGTGTGATCAGCAAACCCGCATCCCCCGCCCCCGCCCCCGGCCAGAAAAGAAGGAAATGAAGCCAGCACTCCATCTCCTGAGGGAATAGAAGGTGGAGGCATCTACCCACATCCCTTCTACTTTAGTACTCAGGGTGCTGATGGAGGACTGATTTTTCTATACTCAGAGCTCCCTCTGCTGGGGGCTGAGGCTCCCTACAGAAGGGGAGGGAAGAGACTAAGAACTGAACTTTGTAGGGAGAGAATGGAAGGCCGCAGGCAGCAAGCTCTTCCTGGACACTCAGGACATAGAATTGAATGAAGATCAAGAAGTAGACAGGTTTTCAGTTTATTGAGTAACAGTGGCACCATAGCTTTTATTACTGGTGGCGGTTGTTTGGGGGAGCAAGAAAGTGCTCTTAGAGGATCGCACTGGGGCCTTCACCCCACTTCAGCCAGAGGTCACAGGAGTTGGAGTCATGGTCCAGCTCTGCACTCCGTGAATTCACCAGCACATATTCCATCCCCAAGTCCACCTCCCCTTTGGACCAGCCGTTGACTGCCGGGCCCTTCCTCCTCTTGGAGGTGGGGGTGTGGGGGAGCAGGGCCAAAAAGCCTCAAGAGAAGGAACTAAGATCAGGATCCTGCCGAACGTCCAGCAATATCAGTGGAACACAAAATCCCCTGTCTTGAGATCATATGCTCAGGGCCTAGTTGCCCTTGAGGTGTCCTAGTTACAGCCACTCAGACACCTGTGGAGTTTAAGCACCGTTCCCACGCTGTGTCCCTCCGTAAGAGGGTGCAGTGGGGGCTCTTAAACAGGAATGCTTGCTCTGCCTTTGTGGCTTTTTGGTTAGGGGAGGGGGTTGGGATTGTAACTTTAGACTTAAGGTTATGATGTCTTGCGGCCCAAGAACTCCTAAGATTATGCCTGAAGATGCCCGTGCTACAGTGTGGGGGAGATGGGGAGATGGCAAGAGCAGTACAGGACACTGACACTCCTTTGTTCTAGCAGAGAAGAGGAGAGGAGATGACCCCTTCCAGGATGTAGGGAATGCGATAAGCCCCCTGCCTCCCTTATCTTGCCATGTCATCCTCTGCCAGCCCAGTTCCTGAGTCAGCTTCGGAAGCCAGGAAGCAGAAATCTGAAGGATTCAGCCCAGTTTAGCCTGCTGGTATCCCTCAGTCTCTGTCCTGAGATCCTGGGTCTCCTCCTGTGTCCAGAAGGGGCAAGGTTCCATCAGGAACGACTCGGCTGGTGGAACTGTTTAGGCGAGAAAGTCCCATAGCCTGGCCGGCTGGCAGGTGACAGGAGGCCAAGAAGGGAAGCCAGACATGAGGACATCCCAGGACAACCTGTACACACACGTATCACATATGTACATATGTAGACACACTAGCGCAGAAGGGATCATGTGACCCTGCTCTTTGAAATCAGAGGAGAGAAAAAGGCTACGGGGGCACCTCTCCCAGCCTAATGGATTGCTGGTCTCAACGGCTGCTCCCACACCAGGCCCCCGCCCAGTACCAGGCAGATGGAAAAGTGGCAGGGACGGCAAGGCTCCACTAAAGCAGCAGCCCAAGGAGGTGAGAGGAGGCCAGGGGCTGACGCCCCCTCAAAGCCCCTTGTTGTAGTAAACCGCTTCGATACTGGGGTTTTGCTCATGGATCTGAGCTCTCAGCTCCGGCTCCAGCCTGCTCACGTGGATGGAGCTGCAACAGAACAGCGCAGGCAGGCTGAATGTCCCTTGAGCCCACCCCCTCAGCTGAGTGCCCCCCGATCACCACCCCTCTTCCTCCCAGGTTGCTGAATCTTCTCCTTCGACTGCCAGAGGCCCAGATCTCTGTCATTCCCCCACCCCCAGAATAAGCAGAACGCCTGCCAGGCCTCCTCCTGGAACACACTGAAGGAACCTAAATCAGCTGCTCCCAGAGACGTGGAGACCTGTCTGAAGCCCCCAGCCAAGCCTGGGGGCAACACTTACCTTCTCTGGGGGAACAGGGCACAGCACAGGGGGGTGGCAAATACCAGGCTGAGGGAGAAGAGTGTTGGAAAGGTTTGTGAAGCTCTGATCTAAGAGTGTTCCCTCCCGGCACCCCACCCCATCTCTGGGGACAGGCCCTAGGGGTGGAGACTGATGAAAGCCAATGATGACATTAGGTTCTGGCCGAGGAAAGAGCCTCCAGAGCAGTGACCCAGAGCGCCACAGCCAGTGACAGAATCAGGAATTAAATGTGCATGAAACTCTGGGCTGGTACCAAAAGGTATATTTCCATGGTTTCCGTGGTGGATGTAGAACCCCTTCGACTAGATTCTTGACCTTCAAGAACAGAGATCACTCCTAACACACACAGTATGCCCTACAGGTGTCCAAGACCCCTACCAGCTGAATGGATGAATGAATGATGTATTCAATGTATTAAATTATCTTAATTATCTTATCTTAAAAGCAATAAGACCCCCCCACATCCACCACAGAAAGGATACTCCCACACATTCTAGCTAACTCCCTGCACACTTACCAGAAGCCCACCAGTCCCACCTGCAGGGGCGCCCCCAGCCAGGGGCGGCGCTGTGGGGAGAGAGAGAGAATGTAATGGTGTGTGTCCCCTGGCCCCCCTCACCCCTACACATTCACCCACCGCGGCTCCATCCCATCAGCGCTGCCTTTGAGCCTCTGATATGTAGCCCTTTTCTTTCCCCCAGTCCCATAACAGGGACTCACCACCCTCCACTCCAGCCAGGCCCATTTGCTGACACCCTCCCTAGCGTCCCACCGCCCATCTTCCCCTCTCTGAATCGCTTCCCACACTTCCTTCAGGAGCCGCTTTCTTCAGGAAGCCTCCTCTAACCCTCCACTCCCTCCCTCCCATCCCACTGCGTGAATCTGTCCCTTTCCAAACACATCTCCTGCTCTGCACACCCTTCTTGATTTGCTCCAGCCTTAGAGGCCACCGATCTGTTGCTCTATGTACATGGCTGGCACTCAATAAATATTTGCGAATAAATGATTCAACAAATGAGCCAGAGCTTGTATCCCTGTGCCTTGCTTCTCCGTCCTGTTCGCATGCAGGTGAGCCTGTGTGTGTGTCTCAATGTTTTTTGTAGCTGACAGCACGAGCACGATATCAAGCGTGTCTGTGATAGTCCAGCCCTATGTGTGTCAGAGGTCTCTGGAGTGACACCAGCTTTCTTCAGGACAGAAGCCCTTTCTTTCCTTCCCTTCCCTTCTCCTCCTGCACCCTCAGTGTTCCTTCATTCCAGCTCAATTTATTCTTGCTGAATGAATTAATGAAGGTGGAAGGGGTAGCACAGGGGTGGGGCAAACAGGTAGCAAGTCTTAGACTCAAGTCAGGTTGGAGAGGAAGTTGGGGACCGGTCACTTCTGCCCCCAGTCACCACTATTTCTAGGACGGGAGAGGTGAGAGTGATGTACCTTTAGGAAGTCTTTCTTCTCCAGGGTGTCCATGATCACTGGGGGAATGGCTGAGGGGAGAGCAGGGCAAGGAGGGAGGGAGTTAGTAGAGTGAAAGTCAGGACCCTAAGGAAGGGGCGATCCCCCTCTGCAGCTCCTCCCACTCCCCCCAGAGTCCTCAAACCCCCCGAATAACGGCACCCCCTTCTCTTAGAGCCGCCCCTGCCTCACCCATGGCAGGAATCGCCATGCAGATTCTTGACGTCACCACCTGGAAGATTCCTTGCTTGGCTGCGGCCACCGAGTGGCCAAGCCTCTGACCCTGTTCATCGGTCACTGGGATGCCCACCTGCAGCTCTCTGAGAAGGGAAGGGGGTGGGGGTCAGATCACAGGCCCCAAATGCTCTCACGGGCAGCTAGTCCCCTCAGACAGCCTAGATTCAAAGGCTGGTTCTCCCACCCCAGGATCCCAGCACCAGACTGAGACTAGGCCCAGCAGCTCGTGTGGCTGGCTGGTGTGCCTACATGCACCCTGGGCGTGCACACGCCAGGAGCTGGGGCCTCTCACCTCTGCCTCATCAGGGGGATGTTGATGCAGTTGGCAGCTGCCACAGCTGCAAAGGGCACGAATCTGCCAACCAGCGGGGGCAAATGCTGGGGGAGGAAAGATGTCATTTAGTGCAGGGGTCTCCAACCCCAGGGCCGCAGACCGGTACCTGTTAGGAACTGGGCCGCACAGCAGAAGGTGAGTGGCAGGCGGGCGAGTGAGCGAGGCTTCATCTGCCGCTCCCCATCGCTCGCATTACCGCCTGACCCATCTCCCCACCCCCGTTCGTGGAAAAACTGTCTCCCACGAAACCGGTCCCTGGTGCCAAAAAGGTTGGGGACCGCTGATTTAGTGACCCTAAGGGCCATGGGGTGGTAAGGAACTCTGAGGAGAGAGATGGGGAGCCTGTAGGTTGGGGTGGAGGAGTGGTAGGGAAAAAGGAGGCAGATAAAGCGTGAACTGAGGGGGGGCAGTGGAATGGGGGGGATTTACCTTAGTGAGGGATTTGAGTCCCAGGGCCGTGGCCACAGCCCCGGTGGTAGCACTCACATAAGCCGTTCCCAGCTGCCTGTAGACGGAAGAGCCAGGACACAAGATGGGAGGTAAACAGTCCAGCATGTGACTCTTTGCTTCAGGGACGTGAGGCATGGGAGGGTGGCCTCAGTGCAGAGAAACGTCTCCCCTGCTCCAATGCAGACTTGTCTGGAAGCCCCAATCCCTACCCTTGAAGAGGACTGGGTCCCCCAAAGCATACACAAGAAGACCTCAGGCCCTCAGTCAGGCCAGGAAAGTGAGTGGGGGGCAGGCTGAGAGGAGGCCACTGAGCCACTGGCTGCATAGGCCCAGGGGAACAGGAGAGAGCAATGGAGGGCTGGGAGAAGAGTCCCTGGGAACAAGCTCTCACCCCCCAGTGATGGGAGCGTCGCCACTGCGGTTGGAGTAGTTAACGATGGCATTGAAGGACTGATTCACCCACTGCCAGAACACCACGGTTGGGGTCTTCCTGAGGGAACAAAGACACTTACTTCCACAGTGTCCCACATCCTTGGACACTGATAATAAAACCCCAAAGGTTAACCCCAAACCCTCAGGAGGGGCCCTGTTGATGCCCCTAGAACGTGCTCTGGTGACCCCTGCATGACCCTCCTTACACAAACACACCCATTGTCTCTGGGGTGGGAGGACCCCAGGGGCTGAACTCTGAGGAATGGAAGGGATTCTAACGCAAGCTCTCACCCACCTACTATTTTCTGCCCAAACTGGCCCAGAGAGGAAGTGCCTAGTCATCAAGTTACACTGTACCTTGAACAGAGCACCCAGGGAGGAGACACACAGAATAGGACCTGCCTGTAGAAGGTGAGCATGCAGCCGGTGATGGTCATGTTCATGGGCACCTGGGCTGACATGCGGCCAATCAGGACCACCTTCTCCCCTGTGTCCGGATGGAAGGCAGAGTCGTACACATACTTGGCCCTCCAGAGCTGGTCCTCGGTGAGCCCTGGCGTCACCACGCCGACCCTGCAGAGGTTGGCAAGGAGGAGACAGGCAATTCTAGGGGGTAGATCTGCCCTCCCAAGCCCTGCCCACCCAGCTCAGGGGAAGTCTGGGCAGAGGACCAGGCACTTTGGCTCCCAATCTCAAAACAAAGGAAATACATGTCTCTGGGGAAGAATCATGTCTTGCCAGAAGGAGGGCTCCTATTTCTATTTCCCTTCTAGCCACACAAAGAGGGGTGCCCTTCTGTTTCTGCCCAAATGCTAGGTCAATGCTGGGTAATGGTGGTTTCCAATGAGTCAATGGCTCATTGGCTGGGGTGTTGCATGAGTTTTTCCTCCTGGAGACAAGGAGGCTGCCCTCCTACTTCCTTGGGACTCAGCTGAGCCCCTCTGTCCTTGCAGAGGATGGCCCAGCAGTGGGACAGGTCCTTGTACAGGGTTTGTGAAACACAGAGCAGCCCCCTACCCACAAATATCGACACCACCTCCTCAACCCAAACACCCTGAAATCCTTTAAGTTAAAGTTCTGTGCCCTAGTTGTCTGTGATTCCAACCGAGAGGGCAAGGGAGTGAGGGGGTGGAGGAGTGGAACAGGGTCACGCTCAAGTTAGGGGAGACAGGTGCAAAAGGTACTGTATTAACAGCAGGGAATGAGCCCCTGTGTTAAATGGGGTTGGGTGTCACCTGTAGTTCTGTACGATGTTCCGGGAAGCTTCTAGCTGTGCCCCGGACAACAGCAGATTTCGGGGGTCAGTCACAGTGAAGAAGTGCCGGGCTCTGCCCAGGAAAGTGCTCTGGTCCCAGCGAGGTTCCTGGATATTGATATCTAAGGGCAACTCACCCATTTTCTGCAGGGCAGGGACCAAAGTCAGAGGACTCCAAGGAGGGGTCCAAGGGGTCCACATGGGGGAGACTCTGGTGGTGCTGCCCTGGTCCCTGCCAATCCTTCTAGAGCTCAGGATGACTCTAGATAGGTAAGCAAGGATGTGGGGAGGAGCTGTGTTCTAGGCAATGTTCCAGCCCCCCTGGGCCACTAGAGAACATGGCCAGGAAAACAGATGTCCTTGCACTCTGGCCTGGTACAGATTTTCATGAGTGAGGATTTACATGTGTGTGGCTGACGCATGAGCAGCAACTAATCCCATGCAGCTACTCTTGTGCTCTGTATGCACAGAAATGCAGATTACATGCATTACACATCCACGTTCATGTCAGCTTTAGGCCCCAGTTGCCTTGAGACCTACATACAAACCCCCAAGGCTGTTTGGGAAGATGGCATAAGCCATCTCACTCCCCAGGCCCTGACTGGAGGACAGCAAGGGTTCACTGGCAACTCCAGGGCTTACCTATTCCAGATCTCAAACAGGGGACTCTGATGCCAGCCAGCCAGGTGTGCTCGTGGGCATGCACAGTCCCCTCTCCAGACCCATCTTCCTCAGCCCACACTGAATGGCCCAAGGCTCGCCTTGTTCCCTAGCTGGGCAGGGCTGGCAGGAACACACATCCGCCTCTCCCTGAGCTACCTACCTCTAAAGGAGCAGGATTCAGTGAGTGAACCCTCCACTCGGCACAGAGAAGAAAGCCTGAAGCATTCATCTGGCCATGTTGGGCAATATCCTACAGAATGACTAATTCTCTCCAACCACACTTCCTCCCTCACAGGCAGACACACCCTCCCCTCTCACACGCTTACATTCACATACCCACACACAAAGACACTAGCATACACGCCCTACACAGACCTGCAAACAGGGTGGACATGCCCTGCATACAAAGACCGTTACTTACACACACACACACACACACACAGCTCATATCCATCAGTTGCAGACACTTGAATGTGTGACCATACAGAGTCTCACCCCGACATTCCCTCCCCAACCAACCTCCCCTCGTGCTTTAGAGCCGAAGATGCTGAATCTCGCAGGACGGAGGCAACTTTCCTCTCTGACTCCCAGCCCTCAAGCCCCTCTCCCCTGACCCCCGAACCCCGCCCGGCACAATGAGCACTCACGATTTCCTAGGCTCCTGGGCTCCCGTCCTCTGCAGCTCTCAGTCCCGCCTTCCTCTCCGCGCGACGCCCCCGCCCTCACACCCATCACGTGTAACGTCACGCGTGACGCTCGCCAGCCTGAGGGGCGGGGACTCCCTTGGCGCATCCGCCCGGCGAGGCCAGGGATTGGCAGAGCCTGGGGGCGATGGGTGTCATTTAAGGGCGACGCCCCCAGCCCGGGCCACTGAGACCCGGCCCTACGCTGTCTCCCAGAGCCAATCCGACCTCAGGGATCAGTTCTGGTCACGTCCCCAACCCGAGAGAGGAGGGTAGGAGCTGCCCCATTTGCTTGCAGTCCCCTGGCTGGCCTCGGGAGGCACCCGGCCTCTGCAACCGGGGGTCTAGGTGCCCGGGGCGAAGGCGGGCGGCGTGGAGGGGCATCCTCTGACGGTACGCCCAAAGAGACTCGGGTTACCGCCCGGCTTGTTTACTTAATGGCTGCCTTGGCAGTGGCCTCTGCCTACTTGGACCCCTGGTCTCCTACCCCGGTTCCCTCAAGGTCCTCTCGCAGCACCTTGGCATTCTCACCCCTTCACAGTCCGGTTCTGCTCGTGCCTGTGCCTCTTCGGTGTCCCCAGCCCTTTCCTCCTCCCTAGTCCCCTCTATACTCCCCTCTATAACCTCTAGCTCCACTGAGTCCCCAGTTTCCTTATGCCCCAATCCCTACCCCTGCATCACAGACCCTGGCCGCAGTCCCTGCCCCGGATGTGAAGGGGCAGAAAGCTCAAGGTACCTCTGTCTGCATCAAGAAAGTGGATCAGAAAGAGTCTTCCTCCTTCTAGTGTCCTGGAACCAGCTTCCCTGCCTTGCGTCCTTTCCAGAACTGGGTGGCCAGAGAGACACTTTCTGACATAGGAGGACGCATATGAGGGCAGCGCTCAAACACACACACACACACTCCCAACTCACCCAGTCACCATACAGAGCATGCGTGCTGCACACCCAGGTGCCAGCCCGCGCTCCTGCCCACCGCAGGCTCACGCCCCGCTCTGCCCAGGTGGCATTCCCTCGCTGAGGCCTCAAGGGTGAACGCGGAGGGGTGGCAATTCCATGAGCCCTGGTAGCTGGTTTGGCCTGGAGAAGACGTGGTTCTGGGCTCCCCTGCGCTGAACCGGTAGCGGGAGCCGGGCGAGCTGAGACCAAAGGCCTAAGTTCGCGGTGCGGGGTGGGGCACCAGAACTCGAACTGGAGCGAGTAGAACCCAGAGGCCCCAGCCCAGATTACAAACGGCCGACCGGGGCACCCAAGGGAGGTGGCTGGAGGGAGTGATTGGCGGCCCTCCCAGCCAATGGGAGCCCGGGGCTGCGCTGGGCGGCCCTATTCCTTCAGCCTCGGCGAGGCTTGGGCGGGGATCCCCCTGCTGCTGCTGCTGCTGTCGCCCGCGCCCGCGGGCGGGCGAGGCTGGCGGCTGCAGCACGCGCGAGCAGGTGAGGGGGGCCGGGAGGACCGAGCCGGGGGTAGGGTGCTGCGTTCTGGGTCCACGAGCTGCTCTGAGGGATTTGGCCCAGGTTTTGCGCGGGATGTTGGGGGGCTCTCGCCAGCAGGTCCTTCCCCCAAGGCTGGGAGAGGTTCACGCCCCTCTTTGGACGGGAGGGAAGGGGGGACAGAGGGGACCGCAGCCTGGGGCCAGGGGATCTCTGGGGCCCTTGGCTGCAGCTGTCCCAGGTTCTGAAGCCCCTCGAGGCGCAAGTCCCTGGGGCTGGCCCCCTACCCACATACACAGGAGGGGTGGTTCAGCGAACTGTATTGGCCCAAATTTCTCTCACACTGCTTGCAGCCCTAGGGCCGGCAATAATCCCATCTCCACTATCTCAACCTCTACTGAGGACTGGGGACCTACCGGAGTAGATGACTCAGCTGAGAGCAGGAACTAGGGGTGAAAGAGAGATTCTCACCCACCTTGTTGTATAAATGGCTCCAGAAGTCCACAATGGTGGCTGAACTGGGCAGTTCTCTGGCCAGGGGGTGGGAGAGGTGAGAGGTCTAAGGCATGGGAGGCAGGATGCTCTAAGCAGGGGGTGGGGTGGAAGTTCTGGGGGGCAGCGGAGGCAGCATTCACACCCCTTCCCCAATCTCTGCTCTCCCTGTGCAGGCCTGGAGCACACACTCCTGAGAGGCAGCAGAGATCAGGGACTCCAGGTCCCTGAGATCCCAGTCAGCACAGAAGGCTCATGGAGCCTGGGGCACGTGGGGCTCTCCTCTCAAGGGCTAGCAGGTTCCCTCTGGACCTGTAGTGCACCACCCCCGTCTAGCCACCATGGCGCATGGCTTCCCAGTGGGCTTCGACCCAGTGGGCCTCAGAGACCTAAGCTCTGGCTCTCTGAGCTCCCTCTCCTCCCGAGGCCACCTGGGCAGCGAGTCAGGCTCTGCAACCCGATACCTGCTGAGAAAGCAACGGCGGCTGCTGAATGGGCCCCTCCGTGGAATCCGAGCCTCATCGCCCATGGGCCGTGTCATCCTCATCAACTCCCCCATCGAAGGTGGGAGCAGAGCCCAGCCACCGGGCCGGGAACTGCGGGTGGGGGGTAGGGGACAGCAGGCACTAGGTAGGAGAGGGCAGAGCCAGTGTGGGTGGGGGAACTCAAGAAATGGGAATCAGGGATGCAGGGAGAGAGAGCCTCTGGTAACCCATAGACTCTTCCTCATCTACCCTTTTCTCACCTTTAAGCCGATCCTTTAGTGTTCCAGGATTGTGGAGAGGTCAGAGGTGGGAGGTCTGGCATGAAGGTAGAGAAGGGGGTGTGGTATGCCAGCCCCCAAGGAAGCAAGGCAGAGTATTGAATTGGCCCCTCACTCCTATGGACTCTTCCTTTCTCCAGACCCATTCATGTATGACTTTGGGGGGTGGGCAGGATGGAGAGGGACATTCTTCATCAACCAGTTCATTGTGAGCCCAGCTCTGTGCTGGGCTGTGAGGAGTGAATGTCCAGCTGGACAGAAAGAATTAAAGGCTTCAGGTGCAGAGGACGGAGACAGAGGTAAAGTGGAAGATGTTGCAAAGAGTGGGGAGAAAAGGAGGGTTGAGGATAGGGAGGGAGCCCCAGGTCTGGGCCCTGAGGGAGGGGGACACCTAATCTTATGTAGTTGCTTAACGTTTCATTGCACACCTATTGTATACCAGCTCTCGTTAGGTCCTGTGGGAACCTACAGAGAAATAAGGCTCAATCTTCACCTTCCAGAAATTTCCAGTGTAGCAGGACTTAGAGACAGAGCAATGACAGCAGCTGGTGGTGGGGTGGAGATATCACAGACAAGGTTGAAACGGAAAGCATGGAATATGATGGGTGGGCACTTAGGAGACAGCCTGGCTGCAGTGACAGATGTGAGGCGACAAAGAGCCGGTGACCAAGGCAGGACCTTGAATACCAGCAGGGGAGTGGGGCCCCCTGGGCCTGGGCTTTCCGTGGGTGGGACCAGATAAGTATCTCCAGCTCCGCTCTTCTCTCTCAGCCAGCAGGGCTCCCCTGGCTGGATCCCAGACTGGACTTTTCAGCCTGCTCCTTCCCGCTGACTCAGCTGGGTCCCTCTGTCCCCTACCCAGGGCACCAGGGCAGGGGAGGAGCATGTTGCTCAGGGAGCAGGCTTTCCTGCACCAGTGGCCCATCACGCTCACCCCCATCGTCCACCAAGCCCGGCCTCAACTTCAGGTGAGCAGCAGGGCAGCATGTCATTCTGGACATGGAGCAGAAGTCGCCAGATAAGCTAGGAAACACAGAGGGGGAGAGAGGAGGTACTGTAGCACGGCCCTTGCAAGTCCCATCGTATTGGAAGAACTACGTCATACCTCCCCCTCACATGCCCACATACTCCATGCCCAACTGTGATGCGAGGCCTATGCACACTGTCCCTCTTCCAGAAGTTCCATGAGGGCTCTCTCCCTCTGCCTCACCCCAGTGCCCTAGTGCAGCCAGGAGAAATGCATCCCCTAGCAATGGAAGGACTGGGCATTGCTCCAGCCAGCTGGCTTGTCTGGGTTGGGGGCCTGTGAGCTCAGAATCATCCCCTCTGCCTGAGCACAAACATCTCCCAACTCACCACAGCCTGGAGCCCCTCCCCCACGTTATTATCAATATTTAGAACTTTCCAGAAGCCTAAAGTTAACTGATAAGGGAGACACAGTGGGAAGGGGAACACTACCACCCATATCACCCAGGAGTTCCCACCAACTCCTCAAACTCAGTGGGTCCCAGAGAAATGGTATTATCTTTAATCCCAACCAGCCCTTTCTCTTCACTCTCCTAATTCATTCATTTATTCATTATTCCACTTATTATTTCATTGATTAAAAGAAGACTTAGCAAATATCAAGCACAGTGCACAAAACTGGGGATACATTGGTGGAAAGAATTGCTAAGTCCCTACCATGACTGAGCTTACAGTCCGGTGAAAAGAGAGCAAGGATAAATAATATACAAATAAGCAAATGATGAGAAAGGATGGCAAGAATTTTGAAGGTACTAATTTGGATGATATGATAGAGCAGTGGTTCTCAAACTTCAGAATACATCCGAATTGCCTGGGGGCCTTGTTAGATAGGTTACTGGGCCCTACACCCAGAGAATCTGATTCAGTGGGTCTGTGGTAAAACCCCCAAGTTCACATTTTTAATAACTTTCCAGGTGCTGCTATGCTGCTGGTCTGGAGAGCTCGCTTTGAGAACCATTCGAACAGAGACTACCTGGGAGGAGGGGGAAGGGACTTTCTTAGGTAGGGTTGTCCAGGAAGGCTTCTCTGAGAAAGTGGTGTTTGAGCCAGGAGGAAGTGGAAATAGGAGGTGGCTTTATGAAGGTCTGGGCAAGGGCATCGCAGGCAGAGGGAACACTGGAAGGACTGGCCGGTGAGAGGAACAGGAAGGTAGTCACTGTGGCTAAAGGTCATGAGGCTGGGGAGGGTGGCCAGAGGTGAGTGTAGAGAGGTGGGCAGAGGAAAGCCCAGGGAGGGCGTTATTGGGCATGGAAGGAATGTGGAGCTCCTTCTAGAAGCAGGGGTAGGCACTGAGGTTTTTAATCAGGGGAAAGGCATGATCTAGTATGAAAGTTGACTCTGGCCACTGTGTAGAGAATGGACTAAAGGAGGCAGGAGGGGAGGAGATAGTGAGGGGCTGCCGAGTGCCTGGAGGGATGCCTGGTGGCCCCAGGCTAGGGCAGTAGAGGTAGAGGATATTCCCTCCTCAGAGGCCCCAAGCTCCTAGGCTCAAAACCCCAGATTTGACATCCCCCTGGCCCAGGGCCCTAGGGAGGCCCCCGAGGAGAGACTGAGGAGAAAGAGGGTTGGAGGGCGGGAGAGCAAAAGACTCCTTGTCTGGGCTGAGAAAGTCCTGGGACCTGTGCAGATAGAATCAGCTAGGAAGCCCCAGCATCTCCCACACCTCTGTCCTGCACTGTCCCCACCTACAGGCTGCCCTTGGGGATTACTTCTTGAGCTTCCCTGCTCACGTACTGTAACCTGATTTCTCTTAGAGCGAATAGAAGTGTGTGTGTGCGTGTACGTGTGTGTGTGTGCGTGTGCGTGTGTGTGTGTGTGTGTGATATTTCTCCTCTCAAACACCTCTGAGTAAGCCTTCCCCAAGAAGAACTCTGACCTTCCCAACTGGGACCCAACTTACCCCTCCAGTCCCCTCACTTTTCTCTAACCAAAAGGCCACCTCTGAGCCTTTGCTCACTCCATCCCCTCATCAGTGCCTTTCCCTTCCCCTCCACCCATCCAAATCCCATCCTTCAAGAAACCTTCCCTGACAGCTCCAGTCCCTAAGGACCCCCTCCTCTGACTTTCCCCATCACTGATGGAGAGGACCACTTCTGTGCTCTGGGCACATACTGAGGCATGGTGGTTTGAGTTTCTTTCCTCATGTAGTCAGTTAGCTCCTAGAGCCCTCACCTCCAGGATCACAGAGTCTATGAGATACAAGGGGCCTCAGGGATCCTTCCACAACATCCCAGACAGGGACTTACTAGGTATCAGCTTGTATGCCTCCAGTGATGGGAAACTCACTATCTTTCCTTGGAAAATTCATTCCATTGTCTGCCAACTGAAGGTTTTAGAAAGTTTTCCCTGATTAAATCTTCCTCCATATAACTCCACTGCGTGGGCTTGGTTCTGCCTTATGGATTACACAGACAAAAACATCTAATGCCTTTTATAGAAGAGCTCTTCAACTATTTGAATATAGACTTACCATACTCATCTCTACTGCAAGCTGGAGAGCCCAGACTCCCTCAACTGTGCCTCGTAGAATGGAATCTTGAACATCTTTCCCATCCATCTGACTCTCAGAGTGGCAGGATTTTTCAGAATTTGGCCTATCCCAGGCCTGTGGTCATGGGTAGCTTAGTAAGGATTAGATACACACACACACAAACACACACACACACAGACCCTGCATTATGAGGAAAGGAGGACCGTGTCTTCTACCATAGAGTCCTGTCCTGCCTGTTCCCACACCCTCCCTGGCCCATGGTCTCAAAATCACCCAGAGAGGACTCAGAAATTAGCTACCTACCCCCTCATTTAGGGCCCTGGGTGCCGGTACCCAGCAACCCAGCCTTCGCAGGCCCCAAGCTGGGGAGGCCAGGGTCCCTCTCTGCCCAGAATGGGCAGGGGAGTCATGCCTGTGTCCCTACGCCAACAGCCAACAGCGATGAAAGTGACATCATCCATGCAGTTCGAGTGGAGAAGAGTCCAGCTGGGAGGCTGGGGTTCAGTGTGCGGGGCGGCTCTGAGCACGGCCTGGGCATCTTCGTCAGCAAAGTGGAGAAGGGGAGCAGTGCAGGTGAGTGGGGCCCAGGTCCTGGCTTCGGACGTGACCCCCACTTTGGTGGGGTGTGGAGATGCTGTTGTCAAGAATAAGAGGAGAGGGCCCTCAGCTTTGGAGGGCCTGATCCAATGGGGAGATGGAAGGGGCTAATGAACAGGTAGGTCCCTGTCTGATGGCAGATACTCAGACCCTACCTGGGGATCCCAATCTCATCAAAGAGGTTTTACCCCAGGGAGCCTAGTCTGATGGGAGAGGCTCAGCCTCAACCTGGGGGACTTCTCCCAAGTGGCCCATGCCAGCCATGCCTCCCCTGGTGCAGAGCGGGCTGGTCTGTGCGTGGGTGATAAGATCACCGAGGTGAATGGGCTGAGCCTGGAGAGCACCACGATGGGCAGTGCCGTGAAGGTGCTGACGGGCAGCAGCCGCCTGCACATGATGGTGAGGCGCATGGGCCGCGTACCAGGCATCAAGTTCTCCAAGGAGAAGACCACATGGTGAGCAGGCCTGGTCCCACCCCACCCACCCCAGCACCACCACCCAAAGCCGTGGAGGGAGAGGCCAATGGCACAGGGCTCAGCCGGGGGCCTGGCTAGTATGGCTTCCGTTCTTCCCATCCCCTGGCACTGGAAACACAGGGATCCGACAGCCTGACCTTGAAATGAGAAAAGACCATTTCTTTCCCCGAGCCCTCCTCTCAACACTCTGCTGTCTCAGACCCCAGTGGCCCTGCCCCTCCGTGCTGCGGCTGTGAGCCAGGGGCCAGTACAGGGCCTCTCCCTCGGGGCCTGGGGAGGATTTGAAATGGGGCCTGGCAGTTAGAGCTGCTCAATAAAGAGCGATTTGCATGGTTTCCCTGGCTTGATGAAATCTATGGCCCAGTGAAGATCTCAGGTCTGGGAGTCCCCCAGAGGCAGCCCTGCCTTTCCTATGCAATTGTCTTGGCTGCTGGGAGGTGAGGGGGTGGCCGGTGGTGGCTGAGGGCCCCGTGCTGTTGTCCAGGGTGGACGTGGTCAATCGGCGGCTGGTGGTGGAAAAGTGCAGCTCAACGCCCTCTGACAGTGGCTCAGAGGACGGCGCACGGCGCATCGTCCATCTCTACACAACCTCTGACGACTTCTGCCTGGGCTTCAACATCCGCGGGGGCAAGGAGTTTGGCCTGGGCATCTATGTGTCCAAGTGAGGGCCGGGGCAGGGTGTGGAACGGGGTTGGGCTGGAACCTGCGGATGGGTCAGCAAGTGAGTCCTGGCCAATGACCTAGGTCAGGGATGGCATCTGGAGAGGGGGTCGGGGGTCACCAGGAGGAGGGTCGAGGGGTTTGACTGGTGTATCCCTGTATGCAAGTGAAGAGTCTGGAAGAGGGTGAGGGAGAGCAGCCAGGTGGCCTATCAGAATGCCTCCTTTCTGAACCCAGAGTGGACCATGGTGGACTGGCCGAGGAGAACGGCATCAAGGTGGGGGACCAGGTCCTGGCGGCCAATGGTGTCAGGTTCGACGACATCAGCCACAGCCAAGCCGTGGAGGTGCTGAAGGGCCAAACACACATCATGTTGACCATCAAGGTGGGCAGGGCTGTGGGAGACAGGGAGAGGCCAAGACAGGGAGAGGCCAAGACAGGGAGAGGCCAAGGACTTCCCAGGCCACTCTAGCACTTAGTGTTGCCCATCGCTGTGCAACTTATGACTTTCCACAGCCTCGTGAAAGGTAGGGCAGGCATTGTCCTCATACCTATTTCACAGAAGAAGAAACTGAGGCTCAGAGAGGCGACATAACTCAGGAATCACAGTCAATTACTCAGTTGATCAGTAGGAGGGCCTGGTTTCTGTCCAGCTCCCCACCAGATGCGTAGGCCAGTGTCCCTTTGTATGAGTGGTGGAGGTCTAGGGGCCTCCACCCAGAAAGGGGGGTGGTAGCTGTGGCTTTGGGCAGGACCTGGGTAGTGGGCATCCTCAGGGCACAGGGCAGGGAGGTCTGGGCTGGAGCCAGAGATTGTGTTTCAGGGGATACGCCTGGATTCATTATTCATGTGGGTCTCACACTTGCCTCAGGATCAAGTCCTTCTCACCCTGGCTCCCGGAGGAGGTGATGTCTCACTCTCCCCTAGCGCCCAACCCTGGCCCCTGCCCCCGTCGTCTCCCTTGTGAGACTTCTTCCCTCTCACCATTCAGTGCCTCCTCTGCCATCCCCCCCGCCACCGCCTCTATTTCCCACCTCTCCCACATCCCGTTTCTCTCTTTCCTTCCTCTCAGATTATCCCAAACACTCCTCCTCTCTCCCACTCTGCCCCCATTCATTCATTCAATATTTTTGAGTACCTACTACACGGCAGCCACTATGCCAGGTACTGGGTCACAGCAGTGAACAAGATAGACCAGGTCTCTGCTACTGGAGGGAAACAGACAAACTAGGTGCATGCGGACTGTGACAGCTGCTGTAGGGAAATTAACGGAGAGGTGGGATGGGGTAATTTGGGAAGGCTCTTTTAGCCAGGGGGGTCAGGACCTTTCAGCTCTGAGGAGGTGACACCTGAAGAGCTGGCCATAAGACGAGCTAAAGGAAGAGAAGCCAGGCAGAAGAGACAGCAAGTGCAAAGGCCCTAAAGTATAGAGGAACTTGGCACGTTCAGAAACAAAGTGGCTGGTGTGGCTAGAAGAACATGATGAGCTCGGAGGAGAGTAATCAGGTTGAAAAGTTGACTCCCGTCCCATCGCTCCTCCATTCTTACCCTCCCTCCTCACCCACTCCCCTGTGCCCTCCTGTGCCCACCATGCCCTCCCTAGGAGACTGGCCGGTACCCTGCCTACAAGGAGATGGTTTCTGAATACTGTTGGCTGGATCGATGTAAGTAGCCAAGCCTCCAAGGTTGGAAGGAAGGGGCTGAGGCCCTAAATTGGGGCTGAAATCTCTGAAGAATAAGTGGGCAGGGGCACCAAGATCTCCTCAGGACTTTCACACGCCCAGAGCCATTTATGGGCTCTCCTCCTAGAAGCTGCCGTTCCTTTACAGGCTCTCCTGGGGTCTGGAGTTGCAGGGGGTGGTTGAAGAAGTGACTTGCTTAAGATCTCTCAACCAGTCAGTGGCAAGACGGCTGAGCAGCTGGTTCCCTAGACCCCATGCTTACAACCTTGCTGCCACCAAGCCCACGGGTGGCCTGCAGCCCCGGCAGGGCCCCAAAGCCACCCAGCCGGAATACTGAGACGCCCTTGCCCTCCCCACTGCCCGCAGTGAGCAACGGGGTGCTGCAGCAGCTGTCCCCCGCCTCGGAGAGCAGCTCCAGCGCCTCCTCGTTCGCCTCCAGTGCCCCCTACAGCTCGGCCGATGGCTGGAGCTCCCTGCCCTCGGACCACATGGATGTCTGCCTGGGGTCTGAGGAGCCGGGCAGCTGGGGGCCAGGCCGGGGGCGGGCAGACACGGCCATGCAGACGGAGCCAGACGCGGGGGGCCACGTGGAGACCTGGTGTAGCGTGCGGCCCACAGTCATCCTCAGGGACACGGCCATCCGCTCCGACGGCCCCCCGCCTGCCCCCCGCCTTGACTCTGCGCTCTCTGAGTCCCCCAAAACTGCTCTGCTCCTGGCCCTCAGCCAACCCCGGCCCCCCATCACCCGCTCCCAGAGCCACCTGACCTTGTGGGGTATGTGGGGGATGGGTGGCTGCTGCTCTCTCCAAAGCCCCTGCTCCAAAACCTGTCCCACACCCTGCCCTGGGCCCCAAAGCTTCCTCTGCGCCAGACTTTGCCCCAGCGCCAGCTGCAGAATACACTCAGACCCTGCTCTGGGCTCCCTTTCAAACTAGCCCTGGACCCCAAACCTACCCTCAGCCCCAGCCCCAGCTTGTCATCCCTGGGCCCCAAACCAGCCCTAACCCAGCCCCTCCATCCTGGAGTTCCCAGCCCTGTCTACAGACAGACAGACACACGCACACACTCCTCACATAGCTGTAGCTGTGGGTGGGGGAGGGGTAGAAAGCTGAAAGAGGAACCCCAGCCCCGTGCTCATCCCCACCTCCCCACATGGCTGCAGATCCCGTCTGCCCCCTACTCTCCCTTTTCTCTGCCCCTCCCCACACCCCTGCCCCTCCCCACACCCCTGCCCCTCGTCCTTCCCTTCTGCCCACCCCTCCAGCCCCCCGGGTGCTCCCTCGTGTCTGCAGAGGAGAAGAAACAGCGGAGGAAGGAGAAGTCGGGGTCCCCTGGGGAGAAGGGGGCCCTGCAGCGCTCCAAGACCCTGATGAACCTCTTCTTCAAGGGAGGGCGGCAGGGGCGGCTGGCAGGGGACGGGCGCAGAGAGGCCTGGACGCTGGACAGTGGGAGCACAGCCAAGTCCCGCCCCCACCCGGACCTGGAGAAAGGTAAGTACTGGGCAGGTCAGCCAAGCAGGACAGAGGAAAAGTCCACTCTGGCCTCCAGCAGGTCTGAGCTTAAATCCCACACTGCTTCGTCCTAGCTGTGAGCCACCACTTCACCTTGCGAGCGTCATGAGTAAAATGAGAGTAATAATACCTATTTCTTTGGGAATAATGAGGAATAAGTGAATTAGTGTATGTTAATCATTTAGCACATGGTCTGACACACAGAAGATGCTCAGAAAATATAATGGTCCTTGTTATACTGCCTTATCTTCCCATTTTACAGAAGGGAAAACTGATGAGAGTCACAGCATAGACGAGAAAGCCTTGGGTCAGATCTCCATGCTCTTGGCACTGAGGGGAGGCAGGGCACTCCTTTCCTAGAGCATTTGGCTTCACCTCCCCTGGCCAGAGCTCCACAGGCTTTACCCAATTCTAGAACCATCTTGAGCAAGGCCATTTGTAGATCAAGGGCCAGGCAGGAAGGCCTAGACAGGCTTCACTCACATCAGGGGCTTCCTAAGGACACTTACAGAGGGTGTCTCATCTCTCTCTGGTGAGATTCAGAGACTGGACCCAAAATGGATGAGTAGAGACTATAGGGGTTGCCTGTAACAGAAACTCAACTCAAGCTAGCTTTAAAAAGCGCTTCTTGGCTCAGCTACTGGTGGAAGCTGGGTCTAAACGTTTAAACAATCTTCCCAGACATCTGCCCCCTTCATCCTCTGGTTCCTCTTTCCCCTGGGTTGGCTTCATTATCTTCCTGGCTTTGCCACTTGGAGGTAAGAAGGCCACTGTCGCTTAGCAACCCAGGGGAAAGAGCTTCTCCTTAAATAGTTCCAGCTTAAGGCTCTCATTGGCCCAGCTGGGATCAGGCGCCCAACACATCACTTGTCATCTGGGAGAGAGAGAGGTGCTTTCATTGGCCAGCCTGGGTCATGTGTCCACCCTGGAGTACAGTGACTGAGAATGGGGTGGGGGGGGTGGTCCCCAAGTAAAATCAGGGTGCTGTTTCCAGAAGGGAGAGTGGATGTTGGGTAGGCAAAAACAACCAGGGGATGAGGGGCTGGGCCTTGCCCCTCCCTGGGGTCTCAAGGTGACAGTCTCATGGGAGAGACAACCCCTTCAAATCAGGGCAGGCCAGCCCCCTCCCTAAAGCCATCTCTTTTTCCAAAGCCCCCAGGGCCCTGCTCTCTCCTGGTTCTCCTCCTACTTCTCTGGCCACTCCTCTCCTTCAAAGGCTCCTCTTTTTCTCTCTGTCCCTTGAAGGTAGGTGATTTGCCCTTGGGGTTCTTCCCTCCATTCATTTGCTTCCAAATGAACCCCATGAGCAGGGTGCAGACTGTACCCTCTCTTGATCCAAAGCCTTCACTGACTCCCCATTGCCTGTGAATGAATCCCTGGCCTGAACATGGCCTTCAAGACCCTCCTCAATAGCCTGGCCTCTTGCTTCCCGGTCCTACCACCTTCCAGCCTTGAACGCTCCATTCCAGCCAGTGATCCAGCCAGTCCTGAGCCCCCAAACCCCATTTTCAGATTGGGGACCAGGGCTGCAACTGAGCCTCTTTCTTCTTCATAGCAGGGGGAGTGGGATCCGTGCAGAAGTTTGTCACCTGGAGGCTGAGACGTGGTAATGCATGCATCCCTCTGCCAAGCCTGGTTTACAGTAGAGCTGCAGATGGGGTGCATATTGGGGGTAGTAGCTTAGGGGCTTTGGGCTAAACTCAGTTGGGGTCAAGCATGGGGGATCAGACAGATAGGAAGGTACACACTGGGGGGCAGCTAAAAGAATTGGACTATACTTTCTAAGAAAGATAGGGTTGCAGACAGATATTGGGGTGCATTTTTGAGGAATGGGAGCTTGAGTTGGGTCTCCCCAAAGACAGATTTTTGGAGAGATGAGGGAGGTAACCTTGCTAGAACTCCAGTGGGGACGTTCAGGGGGTCCAGGGGGCACTGGGCTAGGACTCCACTAAGGAACAGCCTGGGATAGGGGTCTGTGTTGGGGGCTGAAGGGCCTGGATTGGAGCTCCAATGATGAGCAGATTGTATGGGAGACCGTGGTGGGGAGCATCTGGGCTAGACTGGGATTCCGTCGGGGGTACATGGGCCCCTTAGCCAGTCTGTTCTGGGGTCTGACCCCACTGAGGGGAGCCCCCCTGCCTCCTCTTCTGGATGGCTCCTGGCTCCTTCATCATACCCTTTTGCTCCTGCCCTGCAGACCGGGAGAGGGGCCGGACTCTGCTCTCTGCCAGGTCCAGGAGCCCCTCCAGCCAGCTGCCCAATGTGGATGAGAGGGTGCAGGCCTGGGAGAGCCGAAGGCCCCTGATTCAGGACCTGGCCCGGAGGCTGCTGACTGACGACGAGGTGCTGGCTGTCACCCGCCACTGTTCCCGGGTGAGCCTCTAGCCCGTCCCCAGCCCTAGTACATGGTCACTCAGTCTCCCAACCCTTCATTCAGGCCACTATCAATTGACAAGTATCTGGGCTTGACACTGTGAGGCCAGTGGTAAATAAAAGCAGAAGTTACCCCTGTAACTTGTGAGTGCACACAGACACACAGACACATGGACACACAGACACACAGACACATACACACACATGCTGAGCTCACAGCCAGGAAGGGAAGATAGACAGTAACTAAAACCTAAGCACCCATACTGACAAATCATGTGAAGTACTGTGAAGAAAAAGAACAGGAGAAAATAACCTAAGAGGCACAAACTAGATGGCGTGGTCTGGGAGGGCCTCCCTGAGGAGGTGATATTTAAGCTGAGCGGAGAAGGAGCCAGACCAGACAGGTGATGAGTTCGGGACTTGAGTCCCTGCAGTCACCTGCTCTGTTCTCTGTTCTCTTCTAAACCCAGGCTTCCCCACCCCTCATGCCTCCTTCCACTCCTGGGTCAGCCAACAGGTCTGGCCTCATGCCAAGCACCCTCCCCTGTTACCCAAGTCAGTAATCTTTTGTCCTCCCAACATACCCCAAGCCTCCCCCAACACCTGCACTGTTGCTCTCTGTTTCGTTCAACTTCAGACAGAAGCAGAGGGCCCCACGGTGGGGTAGAGGGTAGATCTGAGGGAGTCTGTGTAGCCTGGGTGTTGGGGAGGCTGCAGGAGGCACAGGCCACGCCCTCCAGGAGGATTGGAAGGCCCTCTCCTATCCCTCTGCCTCAAGAACCTGCAGGTTTCCTGTGATGGGTTCCTTGTGCTCCATCTGCATCAGTGTACGCGTGATCCTGTATACCAGGGCAAGCTGAGGAGTTTCAGGAAATTGTTTGTGGTTCCCCCGACTCCCTCACCTTGGTCACAGTGGGGCTGTGTTATGTCTGTGTGACATGTGCATTTGTTAATCTCTGGGGCACCTGAGTTTGTGTTGACTTAACTGTACGGTTGTATCTGTGTGTATGTCACCTGGAGACTGAGGCACACTAATTCATGCATCCGTTTGCCAATGCTTGGTTTACAGCAGAGCTACATATGGGGGTGCATCTGGGGGGCAGCTAAAGGCCTCTGGGCTAAACTCAGTTGAGTGTCACGCTCAGCTCTGAGCGCCATGTAGGGCTGTGCGTACCAAGCCTTTGTGAGCCTGCAACTCTAGGCCCTGGCCACTAGGTTGAGCTCTGCGTCAGTTTCTTTGGTAGGCTCCTGTTCCTCCACCCCTCTGCTCCTCCCACCCTGCCCCGGCCAGGAGGGCCTCTCTCTGTGCCCTAGAGCACCTAGGGAGCAATGCCTACCACCCAACCTGACCCAAGCCCCACCCACACCAAGAGATCAGACCCTCGGGGTGGAGTCCTGGCTGGAATGATTAGTAAAGCTCTGCCAGTGACTTGGATGTGTGGTTCCCGAACCCCAAGCCTCCCTTCTCTCTCCCCCTCTGAGCCATCTCCCCACAGCCGCCAGACCAGGTATTATAAACCACCTCTCTGATCACTTTACACTCCCCAAGCCCCCTTGCAGCCTCATATCTTTGGCAGAAGAGAGTACAGGTTCCTTATCCTCACATTCAAGGCCCTCCCTGATTTGATTCCCCAATTCACTAACCTCTGCTTTCCCATGGTCACCACATCACATCCTCTTCCCTTGGTATAACATATAACACTGGTTTGTACAGCCTACGAATTGCACAACTCTAGGGGCACTACTCACACTGTAGTCACAAACTGTACAGCCTATATGGAGGCCCTCCATGTCCCCCATGTTCCAGTTCAACCTCTATCTACCCATTATTCCACACTACCCTTTTCTGCCAGCTATCATGCTGTTTCCCTGCATTTATCCTTAAGAGTCAGTGAAAGGCCATCTCCTCCATGCAGCCTCCTTTGATCTTCCCACCCTCCTCTGAGACTCCCTCTGCCCCGTCGCCAGTGGTCTGTAGTTTACTGGAGCATGTGGCTCTCTGTCGTTGTGTCCCCACTGCCCAGTACAGGACCTGGCACTTAGTGGAAGCTGAACACAGGTTTGTGGACCTGAAGTGTGTGCACATATGTGACTGGTTCTGTGCAATTACGTGTATCTCTCTCCAGACAAAAGGGGGTGTATTGTCCATATTTGTAAGTGTGGTTCCCTGTAATTTTGTGTGTGGTTTAGGGCCACACACACAGTTGAATTTCCAGATATTTATGAATGTCTCACTCTGGCCACCAGGGTGTGCTGTTTCCCTGTGTCTGGGCACGCCCGGGTTGCTCTGTGTGTGTCCCGGAACCAGTATGTGTGTCCCTCATGGCACTAGGGGGCAGTGTGCTGTCCAAGTCGGGTGGCTCCCAGTATACAGTTTGCCAGTTTGTCTGCGTCGGTGGGGTGTGGCTGGTGGCATCGGGGCAGTGCCAGGCAGAAAGGCCTCCACCACCCTGGGTACTGACCGGAGAGGCTTTCTGTAGGGCCACCCCTTCCCCAGAGTCCCCATTCCAGCCTTGAACAAAGCCTAATTTGTAGGTCTGTGCAGACACAAGCTGGGACAGCCAGGCGCACAGCCTAGACTTTGGCTCAAATTCCTTCCTTCAGCCCGGGAGGTGGGGTGGGGAGGAGAGTCCACGCCCTGCATATCCTTTTCCGGTACCACAGCAGGCAGGAGCCAGAGCTCTCAGGTTCCAGTCCCTCTTCACACTTCCTCATCTGTGTGGCCTGGGGCAAAGTCCTTCTCTCTGAGCCTCAGTTCCCTCATCTGTGAAACGGGAATAATTGACGTCTCTCTCAGAGTGGTTGCTAAATGAGGGACCGTGTGTACGAGGCCTAGAAAAAGGCCCAAAGCTGCTATTGTTACTGCTGTTACAGCTCTGTCACTATTATTGCAGGCTTCCACCCAGTCACCAAGATAAGACAGCCCGGGGGTGGGGAGAACCTCTCCAAAACGTGGGGTCCCTCCATGCCCAGGCATGCCCCCTCACCGGGCTCTGGAAGTCCCCGCTGCTATCTGACCTGTGGTGCCTCTCTCTGCAGTACGTGCATGAGGGCGGCGTGGAGGACCTGGTGAGGCCCCTGCTGGCCATTCTGGACAGGCCTGCGAAGCTGCTGCTGCTGAGGGACATCAGGTGGTGAGGGCCTGGGGGCAGGAAGGGGATCCCCGATACCTCCCCTAACCTCTCCAGGGCTGAAGTCCCTCCGGGCACCTCCAGAACTGAGCCCTGACCACCCCTCGTCTCTTGCCCTCCCCCAGGGGTGTGGTGGCCCCCACAGACCTGGGTCGCTTCGACAGCATGGTGATGCCTGTGGAGCTGGAGGCTTTTGAGGCCCTCAAGAGCCAGGCAGGTCAGCAGCCAGGGGGCAGGACTGTGGATCCCGAGCCACAGGTGGGGCTGGGGGCGTGGCCTCCCAGTGGAGAGGGGCAGAGATTGCCTGGGCCCTTTCAGCTGGGCCCATCAGGGAGCCTTGTTCCTGACCTGCTCTCCTCTCCAACCAGTTTGGCCTCCTGCCTTGCGACCAGCCCGGCAGGACACACCGCCCAAGCGTCACCTCATCACTCCTGTGCCTGGTCAGTCAGAGTCCCAGAGCCCGGGGAGGGGGCACACCCTAGGGGGGCTGGGGGAGGGAGAGTGAACCTTCCATCCTTGTCCCCATGTGGGCTGTCGCGGCTCCAGAGGTATGTGTGTTTCCCTGAAGGAAATCCCTCGTCTGCCAGAACCATTTTCATCATGTCCACTCACCATCTGTACTATTATTTACTTAATAATTAAAAAAATTTTTTTAATTAATTAATTTTATTTTTGGCTGTATTGGGTCTTCGTTGCTGCACGTGGGCTTTCTTTAGTTGCGGCGAGTGGGGGTTGCTCTTCATTGCTTCTCATCGTTGTGGCTTCTCTTGTTGTGGAGCACGGGCTCTAGGAGCGCGGGCTTCAGTAGTTGGTGGCTCGCGGTCTCAGTAGTTGTGGCTCACGGGCTCTAGAGTGCAGGCTCAGTAGTTGTGGCGCAGGGGCTTAGCTGCTCCAAGGCATGTGGGATCTTACCGGACAAGGGTTCGAACCTGTGTCACCTGCATTGGCAGGTGGATTCTTAACCACTGCGCCACCAGGGAAGCCCCTTAATAATTGGGTTTTAAATCCACTCACTTTTTAAATCATCTCACTCTATGCAATAACCTCTGAGAAATTACCAGCTTGGTGTGGGAGTCATATTTTTACTTGCTATTGTAATAGTTACTTAAATAAAACTGTAACTATGACAATAGAAAGTCTTAAAATACTATTGCAATAGAACCCGGGCACGCTGCCACAGGGCCTGAGCAAACCCAGGCCTGGGTCTCCCTACACCAACAAAGGCAAGGACTGGGGTCTGGTAAGGTGGTCTGGGCTGTTGAGGAGAAGGCGGCCTGACCTTGGCCCTCTTCCCCAGACAGTCGTGGAGGCTTCTACCTACTTCCTGTGAACGGCTTCTCAGAGGAGGAAGATGATGGGGAGCTGAGGGAGCGTCTGGGGGGCCTCCAGGTCTCCCTGGGTGCCTCTGCCTCCCACCACCCTCATAAAGGGATCCCCCCTCTCCAGGATGTGCCAGTAGATGCCTTCATCTCACGCAGAAGCGCCTGCACACCCCCTCCCCAGCCACCCCCCGTGGCTCCCCGGCCCCCAAGGCCTAACTGGCTGCTGACAGAACCCTTGACCCTAGAGGGCCCTCGGCAGAGCCGGAGCCAGGGCCCAAGCCAGAGCCGCAGCCGCAGCCGCAGCCGGGGCAGAGGCAAGTCCCCCGGACGCAGGCGTTCCCCATCCCCGGCACCTATCCCCACTCCCAGCACAGCCAGCGGGCACTACCACAAGCCTCGGAAGGCCAGGCCTCCTCTGCCACGACCTACGGATGGGCAGGTGGCCAAGGCAGGGGGCAGTCAAGGGCCCTCTGAGAACGGAACTGGTGGGACAGCCGAGGAGGCAGCCACGAAGGTCCCCAGTGGGGAGCTGAGGACCGTCACACTATCCAAGATGAAGCAGTCCTTGGGTGAGTCCAGGCAGGACTGCACCTGCTGGGGGGCGGGGGCTCTTGGGTGTGGGTGAGGTTGGTGGGCTTGGTTTTGGGGTATAACTAGGGGACCTGGGACTAGGGAAAGAATCAGGGTATTAGGATATAGTTGGGAGGGTCCATATTTGGGAGGTTTGGGGTCTAGAGTGAGTTGAGGATTGAGTAGTAATAGAATCTGGGGGTTTGGGAGAAGTTGGGGGCTCTCTATTTAGGGCTGGGTTTTCCTGGGAGCTCTGGGCTTTAGGGGTGTGGCTGCATGGTAACCCAGTGTTTCTCCCTCTCACTAGGCATCAGCATTTCTGGGGGCATTGAGTCCAAGGTGCAGCCCATGGTGAAGATAGAAAAGATCTTCCCTGGGGGCGCTGCCTTCCTCAGTGGGGCCCTTCAGGTGGGTGAAGGGCACCCAGGCCCACTCCCTAGGCCCAGAGCTGAATTCTGGCAGGGGGCGGGGCTGGTACATGCTCATCTTCCAGCCAGACATGTTTAGACCAGGTCATGGGAGGAGGCTTGGGAGCAGCGGGGTTAGGCCTGAAGGATACGCAGACCTAGGGAAAAATCTGTCCCCTCATGCCAGCCTGCGCCTGAGGGTGGCCCATCCTGTTACACCGCTAGCCCCAAGGGACAAAAGGCAATTGTCTGCACCCCACCCTGCCCCCAACCGGCTCTGGACACAAAAGTCCCATTGTCCATCGCCTCCGCCCAGAGCCCAGATGGGGAGGAGTGTCCTAGCTGGTGGAGGTGAGAGGTTGGGTGGTGGTGTGGGGTTGACCTGAGGAGGGAGGTCTGTGATTCTCCCACCCCCATCCCAGGCTGGCTTTGAGCTTGTGGCCGTGGATGGAGAGAGCCTGGAGCAGGTGACCCACCAGCGGGCAGTAGACACCATCCGCCGGGCTTATCGAAACAAGGCTCGGGAGCCCATGGAGCTTGTGGTCAGGGTCCCCAGGCCCGACCCACTGCCCTTACCCTCTGACTCATCAGCCCTCACTGAACAGCGGCTTCCTGGTGACCATTCCCCTGCCCGCTGACCCCTTGATGGTACTCCAGCTACCTCCCACTGGCTCCCAGAACCTCCCATTAATGCCCTTCCCACCCATACCCAGACCCCTCCCGCTGATGCCAGGCTTCTCCAGCTGACCCCCAGCCCAGTGCCCTCTCCAGTCTTCCAGCCTCCTGATACTAATCCCAGACTCTCCCCGGCTAACCCGTAACTCTTCCCACTGACCCCAGAGAATCCTCCTGCCATCCCCTGGACCTCACCTACTAACCTCTTCAGGCCTCAAGAACCTGCCACTCCTGCTTGCCTTGCCTACCCGCAAAGCTCCGCACTGGTGGCTCAGATCCTCTCCCCCCACATTCTCCCTCCCCAGTTGTCACTAAGGCTCTGCCCATTCCAGATAAACTTGGTGTCAAGGACAAGGTGCTACTGGGCAGCTCTGTCACCAGCTCACTATCCCTAACCCCCCAAGACAGGAAGGGGGTTGGGAAACCCAAGGTCTGGGGCTTAGGATTGGTGTGCACTTTCTCATGATTCCCCCAGTGAGGGACAGGCACTCTCAGATAGGGCCCTCAAGGGGGTCACTGTATCTAGCCCCCAGCCCCAAGCAGTGTTCTGTGCAAGGGACAGGATGGGAGTCTTTTCTAGTTTCTCAAACCCCAAGAGCCCATTTCATGTTGTGGTCCACTAGGAACTCAGATTTTCTGCTGGATTTGTCCCTCCCCCATCACCCTTTCTCCCCGGAAGACCTCCATGAGGGGTTAGGGGAATAGCCAGCAAATAAAAGAGGGCGTGGGGGTCAAACAAGTTCCCGTAATCTTTATCCAGCACACTCATCATTTTCTAAAAACAAAAATTTTTTTTTTAATTTTTTTCTTTGGGTTTGTACAAGAAATTTACAATGTGAAAAATATACAAGTGAAAACAAGGCCATAAACCTGGGTGTTGGGGAGGGGCCACTGGTCACAAATACAAATAAACAAGACATTTCTGGGTCCTTCCTTTGGTCTGACTACAGCCCCCTCACCCCAGGAGAGAGGCTGCAGAGCTGGGACCTGGGGATCAGACCCCGCTCCCAGCCCTGTCCCCCAAAACGGGCAGGGTGGGGGCAGGCACATCTGGAGCAGCTGGCGCTGTTTGGCTCGCTCTGGCTGTGTGATGGGGAGAATGTGGAGATGAGGGAGCCCCTTCCTCTTCCCAGCCCCCTGGCTGGGTGGGCTGGAATGCTGGGGGTGAATGGGGTTGGCAGAGTGGCAATGGCAGTAGTTGGTGAGTGAAATAGGCTGAGTGAGTAGGAGCCTCGGGGTGACAGTGAACACAGGGACCTTCAAGGAGTCTGATCTTGCTCATCCAAATCACAGGGCAGCCCTGAGTCCTTGAAAGAGGCCCAGAGGCCTGGATCACAGGGGACAAGTGGCCCTGGGGCCCTCCGACTTCGGGGCCCTCAGTGGATCTGAGGCTACCATCTGCATTCAGTAGACCTCCCCGCAGAGCTGGATGCCAAGGCCCTAGATTTCGGTGGCAGTGATCTCCTCCAGGCAGATGCAGGGAGCTGGCTCCGCCAGGCCCAGGTCCGCGAGTTCCCGGGCCTCCAGCTCCAGGCTGAGCTGCTGCAGCTCCTGCTCCAGCTGCCGGTTGCGTCGGTACATCTGGATGTAGTTGTGCTGCAGCTGCTTCTGGTAGCGGATCACCTGCTCCTTCTCCGCCTGCCAGGCCAGCCGCTCCTCCTCGAAGCTGTCCCGCTGCTCCTCGCCTCGCCGCCGCTCCCGCTGTAGCTCCGCCCGGAGCCGCTCCACCTGGGCCCGCAGGCTGCCCCCAACCCCGGCTGCTGCCCGCTGTGCCTTGGCCTCATCACTCTCTGCCAGGAGGAATGGGTCAGCAGTGGCAGGAGGCACAGGGGGTTCCCGGAGGCCGGCCGCCTCGGTGTCCAACTGCCCAGCTTTCTCCCGCAGCCGCTCAGCCTCCTGGCGGTGCCGCTGCAGCTCCTGGGAACAGGCCTCCAGCTCCAGCTCCCGTGTTCGGGCCGCCTCCTGGAGGCCCCGCGCCCGGCCCTCACTGACCCGCAGTGCCGCCCGGGCCTCCCGCAGCGCCACTCGCAGGGCCACCAGCTCACTGCCCTTCTGCACCAGCTCTGCCTGAGATTCCTTCAGTTGCTGCTTCAGGAGCGAGATCTCGCCTGACTTCTGGCACACCTGGGGGTGGGAGATAGTCAGAAAGGATGGTGAGAAGTGTTCTCCCAGGGTGTCAGGCCCTGACATCATGCTGGGCATTTAGGGAGAGGTGGTTTGTTCATTATACCCATTTTACTGATGGGGATAATGAGACAGCTATTAATTGGCTACGGTGGAATACAGACCCAGATGTTTTGCTTTCAAAGCTGGGGTCTTTAAACCATCACAAAGCACTAGCGCCCTGGGGACTGGGTGGTGGCGGGTTTGGTAGGAGTGGAAGCAACTGAGGGCAGTGCCCACATTTCCAGTTGAGAGGCACTACAGTATCCTGGTGAAAAGCAGAGACACTGGAGCCAGACTGCCTGGGTTCAGACCTCAGCTCAGCCACTGACTAGGTGTGATCTCTGGCTCTAGCCTTTCTGGGTCTCACTTTCCTCACCTATAAAATGAGGATGTTAACAGCACCCACTTCACAGGGTTGTTACGAGGATTAGAGGATACACTCTACATCACACGCTTAGAATAGTGCCTGTTGAGCAGCAAGCACTACATTCTCATTCTTATTATGGCGGGAAGGCAGTGGATAGGAACGTTACTGGCTACGTGCGCACTTAGACCAGACCAATGAGGAGACCAAATGTGGAGGCCCAAGAAGACCCGCACCCAGAAAGGGAGGTCAAAGGGGGAGCCTCATCTCACAAAGGTGAGGAAGGGGAGGCCCTCTGGGGGTGGCAGGTGAGGGGGTGTGGCTGGGCCCCTCCTTTCAAGGCTTACCCACTCCCCACCCCCACCCCCACCCCCCTGCCAAAGGCCCTGCTCCCTGCCCATCCTGGTGTGGCCCACCTCCCACTTGGTCTCCTCCAGCCGTGGCCCGAGCTCCCGCTGCTCCCGCTCGAAGGTGGCGCAGCGCCGCTCCAGCTGCTCACGTTCCTGCAGCAGCTGTGCAAAGTCATCCTGCAGCTGCCGCTTCTCCTGCTGCAGCTGGAACACCTGAAGCTGCAGCAGCTGTTGGGCCCGCTGCGCCCGCTGCGCCTGGGCCATGCCGTCCTCTCGCAGGGCCTCGCGCTGCCAGTGCCGCTGCCGTTCCTCGTACACCTATGGGCGAGAGGGTAGGCCTGGGTCCTGGTGGCTCCCCCAAACCTCAAGCCCTGGCCACCCCCAGCTCCCCAATCACCGACTGCCCTGGCTCCCGTCCTGGGCTCAGGGAAGGTAGATTCCATTCAATAATTACAATAATTACAATACCAACAGTAGCAGCTACTTTTATGAAAAGCGACACAACAACAACAATAACAGCAAGCACTTCCCAGGTGCCAGGCATTAGTCTAAGCACTTTACACCCTTCACCCTACTTACTCTTCATGATAACCCTGAGGCCAGGAATATCCCCATTTATAGATGAGGAAACCGAGGCTCAGTACAACTAAGTAACTTGCTCAAGCCTGAAGGACAGTAAATGGTGGTGCTGTGTCAACCACTCTACAGTGTAAGCCAGACAGCTGGGGTGGGGATGGGGTCACAGTGCAACAGCCCGACACCTGCCCCTCAGCACAGACAGAAATGCTTCTTGTATTCCCAGCACCTGTGGATGTCCTGCCATGCCACCCCCGTCACTGCCACTGACCACACCCGGCACATGGTCACCTCGCTCTCGTCCAGACTGTCCCGCAGCTGCTGCAGCTCTGCCTCCCGGTCTCGGAGCTTTCCTTCCAGGACACAATGCAGCAGGGCCTCGTCCGAAGGGGGTGGAGGGGGTGGAGGCGGTGGCGGGGAGCGTTCCCCACAAGAGCTGCTGTCAGGGGAGGCCCGGGGACCGCTGCCCAAGAGCCCCCCGGCCATGCGGCCCCCCAGGGAGCCTGTGCTCTTGCTGGAGGAAGATCGGCCGCTGTCTGAGTGGGAGGGCCCAGTGGGGGCCCCTCGGGCTGGCCCAGGCAGTGCCCCCCGCCCAGGGCCGTGGGAAGGCAGGTGCCCGCCTGGGGAGCTGGTGGCTGGCTCTGCACCCCCGGTGCTGTAAGTGGGCAAGCTGGACAGTGAGTTTCGGCCGGAGTCGGATAGAGTTCCCGATGGACAGCTGCTGGCCCAGCCACTCAGGGTCAGGGGTTTGTCGGCAGCCGAGGAGGAGGAGGAGGAGGAGGAGGAGGCAGGGCCCCCAAACAGCTGCGTTAGGCTGCCTTGGCTTCCTGACAGTCCGGCAGCCCGAGGACCCAGGAAGCTAGGTAGGGATGGTGCCCCTCGAGGTTTGGGCAGCACTGGCTTGAAGGCTGTTGGGCGGATCACAATTTTCTCCATGTTCTGAAATGAGGTGCCACTTGACAATGGGGATGAGGCCGCCCAATCTTTCAAAGCCCTTATCATACTCCTTGCCCTCCCATCCGGGGTCCCCAATCCCCATATACTAATAACAATTGCTCCCACTGGCTGAGGGCCTCCTGAGTGTCAGCTTTATGTCAAGTAATTTAAAACGTTCTTCTCAGATCATTACAACAGCCATACAAGCAAAATATTATCACTATCTCGTCCACAGATGAGGAAATGGAGGCTCAGCAGAGTTACGGGCCTTGCTCAAATTCAAACACATTGTTTTAAGTATAAAACAGTATTTCTAAGCAGCTAACACTTATCGAGTACATATTACGTGCCAGGCACTAGGCTAAACACTTTACACACATGATTAGATGTAATTCTCCCAACAATCCTGTAAGAGTTGACCTATTACCTCCATTTTACAGATATAGGAACTGAGACTCAGAAAGGTTAAATGACTTCTCTGAGGTCATACAACCAGAATGAGGCAGAGTTGGGATGAGAACCCAGGTCTGGTGAATCTGGAGCCCACACTCCTCCCTCTAAATAGGTCTCCTAATTTTGGCTTCTCCAGGGGACCCCTGATTCCACCCAGGCCCCAAAGAAAGGGCTGGTCCTCACCTTCTCCAGCTTTCCGGAGACAGGGATGAGCTTTGGTGGGGGACCACGGAGATGGGCATTGCGTGCCCGCTGCTCTCGGGCATCTTCGATGTCACTGCTTGGGCTGGGGGGTGACTCTGTCCGGAAGTCTTCATTGACGTAGGTAAAGTTGGTGCCAGGGACAGCCTTCCTGGGGGGCACAGCTGGGCACAGCGGCTCCTGTGCCTCATAGCCACCCTGCAGCAGCCCATCCTGCTGGCGGAAGAAGGTGGGCCCAGGGGGACCGTGATGGCGGGGAGGAGCCGGCCCCCCAGGGCAGGGCCGGCCTGAGATGAGGCTGCTCACGCTGCCCATGGCTGGAGCTTGTGGGGCAGTGGCGGCCTCAGGAGCGGGCTCCAGTGGCACTGGCAGCGTCTGCACAATGGCCATGGCAGCAGAGGCTCAGGCCTGGCCAAGGGCCTCCAGGGAAACCTGTGAGCAGGGCAGTGGTGTCAGTCTCTCCATCTTGAGCTCCCTCCCTATATAAGGTCTCGAGTTCCTCCTGGTCCTTTGTCCCAGGTCAAACAGCCCCCTGACATCAGTAACAAACAACGATACCCTCCCCGCAAGGCATCCTCTCCGAGAGTCTTGGCAAGAACCTCAATTATCCCTGGGCCCCAGGCCACTGCCCAATTCTGGTCTAAACATGGCTGAGGACTGAATCTACCAAGCAGGGATGATGACGGAATGGGGCCCCACAGAGGCCAGGACTCAAGTTAGGGAGGGAGCCCTCTCTACCAGCTCCCAGCACCAGTCCTTGGTCCCCTGGGGCAGGTGGCCTCATTAGAGGCAGTCTGGGCAACCTCAGGGGTGCAGTCAGCAACTCAGATGGTAATTAGGAAACAAAGAGCTAAGGCCAGGCAGTGCCCAGCCTCCCCCAGCTGGGCCTCAGTTTCTCCCAGACAGACAGGCGGCAAGGGTGGAGCTGGTCAAACAAGAACTCAGAGCTCTTAGGGAGCCCACAGGTACCCTCTGGGGTCTCCTGCCTCCAAGAGGTGGATGCAGGCTCATGCCTGTTTCCATGACAACTAGCCTCACCACACCCAATCAGTCGGGCCTAGAGAAGCCTACACAGACCCACTGCCAACCCCTATGAAACCTTCTAGCTTTGGACATTCCCCAGAGTAACCCCAAGGGGATGAGGATAGAAGCTCTACCATCACCTCTGGCAGCTGCTCCAAGATCTCATTTCCCTGGAGCCCAGGGAAGAGGGCTCCACCTCCCCAGGCCCTGCTCCTTCCTGGAAGGGGACAGCAAGTCTCCACCCGGAACTCCCTCCCCAGTCCTGAGGCTGAAGACCAGGACTCAGGCATCTGCTGAAGTCATCATGCAGAACGGGAGCCAAGAAGTGGACAGAGAATTGCGTAGGAGTAGGAGTGTATGCATCTTACTTATTTGTGTGTGTGAAACTGTGTGTACAAGAGCATGAATCTGAGCAATGTGTTTGAAAATATCATGAATGAATGTGTGAGTATATATGTTTGGATAGATGCATTAGTACATTCAGATATACATGCATATGTATGTGAACTCATATGTGCATATCTTACAAAAGTGTGTGTGTAAATAGGGTGTCTCTCTCAGAAAGTATGTGAAAGTCACAAACGCATACATAAGTGAATTTGTGGTGTATGACTGTGACTACGTGAGAGAGTATGTTTGGTTAGATGTCCATTCATATATACATGAGTTTATGTATCTTACACAAGTGTGTGAGTAGGAAATGAGGGTGCACAAGTGTGTATAGAGCACCGTGTGTGCATGGGAGCATGTGAGAGAGAGGGTGAGAGCCTGGGTGGCACGCAGGGCCAACTGGGTGAGTGGGAGCCTGGTTTTTGTCACTCACTGGATTGTGGGGAGAGGAGAGACACGTTGAGTCTTTGCTTGATCTGCTCTCCTTCATTCTTGCGTGTGTTCCGTTAAGTCCGCCCCCACCCCCCCTCCCCGCTCAAGTCAGAAGATCTGGAGAACCAGGGAGGTGTCCAGACTGAGGAAGGAGGAGCTGGGAGCTGGGGGTCGGGGTGACTGGTGTCCACGGAGCAGGGGCAGGGGCTGAGTCCACCCCACAAGCGCCAGCCCTGAGCAAAGCCAATGGAACACCCCCTCCTCTGCCCTCTCCCAGACCACTCCAGGGCCTGCAGGAAACAGTGGGGAAGGGGCTTCTTAGGGGGCCATGGGGGCTGGCATCTCTGTCTCCATTTCCCCACTTCTGTGAGCACAGAGAAAGTGGAAACTGAGGGGAGGAGACAGAGAGATTCAGACAGGGACCCAGAAGACAAGAGACAAAGACTGAGAGAGGCCCCAGGGTCAGGCAGACCCAGTGAGCCGGGGTCCCTGCGCGCCACGGAGCCAGGAGCCCCTAAACCCAGAAGAGACACTGAGCTGGGTCCTGAGAGCCAGACACCCAGGGAGCCAGCGCCAGGCGTCTGGAGAGCCAGGCCCAGCCAGCCCGGCTCCTGCTCTTGAAGCCCGAGAGAGAAGGAGGGGCAAGTGGAGGCTCCATTTTGAGAAGTGCGTTTGTGGCTGTAGGAAGGGAACCCCCAGCTCTCCCCAACATCCTTGAGGAACCGCTCCGGCACAGCACACACTCCCCCCGCCCGGTGGGGACTACTGAGGGCTGGGTCCAGCCGGGGTCCGAGGGAGGTCTGGCCGAGGTCCGAGCTCCCACAGACCTGTTTTGAGGGCAGAAGAGTTCGGGAAAGTCTCCCCCTCACCAAACTCCCAAGGACCATCCAGCGGGATCAAGTCTGGGATCACGAGTTGCCATTCCGAGACCGGAAGCCGGGAGCCCCCAATCCACCCTCCGGAATCCATCCCCCTCCGACCCCCGCCGCTTCCATAAAGTGGGGGCAGCTGTAGAATGCCGCCTCCCCACGGGACCTCGGCCGTGCATAAGTTGGGGTCACCCCCAGGTCGCCTCCCAGCCCCGGCCCCCCCTCACCTCCACCGCGCTGCTCCATGCTCAGCCCCGGGCCGCCCCCAGCGCTCCACAGGCGCGCCGACCGGCTCCAGCCCGCGCGCCGCTACTCGGAGCGGCCCGGTCCGGCCCGGCCCCGCCTCCGGGGAGCCCCCGGCCCGGCCCGGCCCAGGCCCCGCCCGGCCCAAGTGGGCGGTGCAGCGCGGGGGAGGGTCCGAGGGACGACCCCGCCCCCGGGGCGCGGACAAGCGTAGGCACCCCGTGTCACGCGTGTCCGGCGAGGCGCACGCACGCAGGGGCTACGTAGCGGGACTCAGATTCCCTCCCTCCGAGGCGCCGCGGCTGTGTGTCTGGAGGCTCGGTCGGCTCAGGACTAGGCGGCAGTGGGTCACCCTGTACCCCTACCCGAGCCCCGGGGCCAGCGGCTGCTGATCATTGTTCGAGCACAAAGGGCCAGGCGCCGCGGCGGCCGCCCTTCCCCCTCCGCTCCTCTGGTCGATGCCAACCCCGCCCCCCCACCCCCAACACACTCTCCGGCTTCGGAGTCCAGAGAGGGAGGCCGAGGGTCAGCTGCCCCCCACGCTGGGCCCTGCGCCCCAGCACAAGTCGGGGGCCGAGGTTTGGTGGGTGCTTGCCCCACCCGCAGCGGGTTGGAAGAGGCACGCTTGGATTTGCGGAGGCGGCGCCACCTAGCGGCCTATTCGGAGAACACGCCCAGTCACCCCAACCTTGGGGGGTCCCTACCCGACTCCCCAGCACTGTGCCCTCTCCCACTAGAGCCCAGGCCTCCCCCGAGCGCGGCTCTGTGCTCCCCAACCTTCCCTCCGAGTCATTTGCTAAGAGAGAAGTCATTGATCGAGAGGCAGCCCCTGAACCCCCAAAAGTCACTGGGGTGAGCTGGTCCAAACTTACAGGCCAAGCCTACACGAGCCTCACAGCCGACAACATTCCACTGTCTTCTCAGGGTCAGGGATATTCTCACCCTCTGGCAAACAACACTGTCTTAACACCCACACGATCTTTCCCACATTCAGTCTCACACAGCCACAATCACACAGTCTGTCTCGTCCATCACAAGGTTCCATGTCCCTTCTTTCCATAATCTTTAGGCCAACTCACAGAGATACACTCGGTGTCACACGCCTAGTTGTGCACAAACACTCGGTGTCACACGCCTAGTTGTGCACAAACACTCGGTGTCACACGCCTAGTTGTGCACAAGCTTTCACAGCTCGAGTTCCTTCGCACCCAGTCACAATCTTAAATACACTTCGTCTCCTAAGTATGTTTCACACTGACAGTCTCATTCACAGTCACAAAGACAACTTCTTACACATACACGTTGTATTTCACAAACATTTTAACACATAGACTTGCCCGTAGGGGTCTCTGTGACCTAGTCAGGTCAGCTGATGCCCGCACCCCTGGGCAAGGACAGCCTCCTGCCCCCTAACCCCGCCCCCCAGGGCCAAGGCCCGCCGGAGCTCCTCCGCCCCAGGAAGGAGCATTCCCCCCCTTCCAGGCCACAGCCCTGGCCGGCTCTCAGCTCTATTTTTAGCTCTATGGAAAGGGTTGTTTTTCTTTCTTTTTCCCTGTAAAGGGAAACATAGCCCAGCCACCCTCAGGCTCACCCTAGACCCTCAGCCTTACAAGAACAGACTGAGCCCCCCCTCCCCCGTGGAGACCCCCTCTGCTGGCCTTACCCTGATCCCAGCCTCCTGGGACACCAGGAGCCTCCTCCCCTTTCTGGCAGCCTGCCCAGAAGCTCCGGCAGCAGCTGGGCTCAGCGAGTGTGTAGAGGTGGGGGGTGGGGCAGGGAGGGAAGCCGAGGGCCGCTGCCCACTACCTCATTCCCTGGGGGGAGGGGGGCCGTCCTCCCTTCTACCAGAGGGAGATAGGCCCACTCTGGTATTGAGGTGATGTGTACGCTCATGCATCCTTTGGGGAAGGGGGACTCCCACTCTTGCATGAGTGGGCCTTCTGCTTCTACTTTGGGGGTAGGAGCTGCCAGTTCTGCAAGGAAGAGTGGTAGTAGGAAGGGGACCCACAGGCGCTCCCGCAGCTGCTCCCTGGGCTGGAGGACCGGGCGGGGGCTGCTGTACACTGCCATCCAGAATAGCACCCCCTTCAGGGATACTTTCAGGGATGGGGGCACCATGTTCCGGAGAAGGAGGACGAGGAACCCAGGTAACCCCACCCCAGCGCAACAGTCTCTGGTCCTCCTGCGCTACCCCAACTCCAGGGGGCGTTGTGTTCCCATTCCTGGGGGAGGGCTGATCACCTCCAGGAGGAGAATGAAATACAGCCCGGCAAGATACCTGGCAAACTTGCTGAGTACCGCGGAGGGAGGTTCCCGCCCCGAGGCTGGGGTGGGGGGAGGACAGCCCGCTGGTGGGCGAAGCGATCACGTGCTCAGCGCCTGTTTACGTCTTAGTCTTCACCTGCGGGCGGCAGGGAAGCAGGAGCCTCCGGAGGTGTCCCACCCGGCCCGCCCCCATCCGCGGTCACTGGGCGGCTCTTTCCTCCCACCCCCATCAAGTACGCGACAGCAGCGCGCCCTGCCCGCTGGGGGGTCCTCGCGGGCCAGTGGCGCTGCTCCACGGACTACTAGCGTTAAGTCACTGGGCGCGTCCGCCCCGGAATGCACGTGTGTTCGTGTGTCTCCAGTACGCGTGTGTGTCTGTGTGCGCGCGTGTGTGGGCCCGTCAGTGTGAGTTTCCGTGTAGGTTCCCTGTTCAGACTCCTGGCCTGCGGCCCCCGGACCGGGGACCCCCCTCCTCAACCCCAATCCCCAGCTTCCCCAGATCGGGAAAGTTCGCTCCGGGGCGGTGTGCGGCAGGCGAGAGTTCCTGCACCTCCGCGGCCCCACCACTCACTCACCCAGCGCCACCTGCACCGCCGTTCCAGCTTCCGCCCGGCTTCTGCTCCAGAGCCGGTACCTCCTTGCCGCGGACCCGCCGGCTCCCAAGCCTGCTCCCGGTTGCGGACTCCGAGCGCCCGCCCGGCCGGGCTCGGTGGAGCGGGGCGGGGCGGCTGAGGCCGCGCCCCCGACCCCGGCAGGGGAGTGGTTTGCGCAGCACCCCCTCAACAGCCGACCCAGTACCCAGCCCAGCTGTGGCTCGACGGTGGCCCGAAACTGCTCCTCTGGCCTCTGACTTCACAGCTTACTGGATTTGGCTTTTGACTTACGAAGGGGCCAGTGGCGCGACAGCCAAGCTAAGCTACCTGGCTGCGCTAACCAAGTTGGCTATAGGGCTTTACTGCCACCCTCCTCTGCTTTGTAGGGAGCCCACCCTGGTCCACTCTCAGCCCGCCCCCCAGACACAGGGGAAACCCCTGGGAATCAGACAAAGAAGGCTCGGGTTTCACCAAAACAGACCCCGCCCTTCCTCACACACACCTCGGGGCTGGGGCTGCCCGAGCAGAACCAGCGTCTCCCCCTCCCCTGGAGTAGGTGTCTGCCCAGGTGAGCAGGCTTGCCAGTTCTGGCCCCTACGGAGTATGGCCAGGTTTCTCTCAGGCTCATAAACTTCCACCCACAGGCACAAACAGGAAGTTGACCTGTATTGCAGGGAGGCACAAAGGGCTCCCACCCTCCATGGCACTCAGGCAGCCTGTGATGTCTACAGGTATCTGGGCCATATTTGCAGCCTGAGTACCTGGGCAGCAGGAGTCCTGTGAGTTTAGTCCCTTCTCAAACCCATTCCCAGTAAAGGGATGGAGGACCAAGGCTGCCCCTCACAGGCAAGTGTGACAATGAATCGAGGACAAGGCTGCAAATCCAGCTGGACTCTGCTGGGCCAGGCTCTTCCTCAGCTCTCAGGAAGATTCTTAATGTCCAGCTGGGCACAGGCAATTTGCCTCAATACACTCTGGCTACGTACAGGGACAGTGACTCTCAGGGATCTTACACAGGACCCAGGGATTAACTACTGCTTTCTAGGTTCCAGGGACTCCTGAACACACTTTGGGCTAATTTTGATGTGAGGAGTTTAAGGCAGGTGTGGAATGGAAGGTGTTTGTATAGGGGGTGGGGCTGGGGGAACATTAGCTTCCCCTCTCCCCCATTCTGGTTTGTGCAGTGTGGGGGGTATCTGCTAGGAGGGTGGGGCAAGACAAGCAAGTGTGTATCTATCCCTCTAACTCCAATTCACACAGAGACCTCACAAAAGTCCCCTAATGGAAATCCCTAAAGGATTTCCTGAGAACACACCAGGCATCCTAGGGAGACCAGAATATGGAACCCACATCCTTATAGGTAGGACTGACCTGGTGGTGTGCATCTGGAAGGCATGGCTGATGTTCAACGTTATAGACCCTGGATGAGGCCTAGACCAGCCAGCGGCTGGGAATGATTACTGCAGGATTAGGAGGCCTGGCTCCAGCCAGTCTGGGAGAGACCCCCAAGAAGGGAGGCCCTGGAAGAGGTCCCCCCTCCCTCCCCCCCAGAGAACAGCTTTGCTCCAGGGTGTTTCAGGAGACAATTGTAGCCACAATTCTCACACACCACAGACCAGAGAGACCCCAGACCATTCCACAGGGTTCCAGAGCCCCCTCTTAGGTTGACAGGGAAACCTTGATAAAGCAGCCCTGCTTTCAGGAAGCAGGAACCCCACTGACCCCACCACCCTTTACAAAAGGCTTCTCCCCAGCCCCCTTAGAACATCTTGCATTCTCATCACGCTTGCAGGCAAATCTAAAGGGAAACAGACTTTAGGATATCAGAGGAAATGAGATGGGAAAGTGTCACCATTTAGCAATATTTCTTTAAAAAAATTTTTTTCATTAGAAGCAGATTTCTTTCTTTTTTAAAATATTTATATATTTGGCTGCACGGGGTCTTCGTTGCAACAGGTGGGATCTTTATTTTTTAATTGCGGCATGTGGGATCTAGTTCCCTCACCAGGGATTGAACCCGGGCCCCCTGCATTGGAAGCACCAGAGCCTTAGCCACTGGACCACCAGGTA